GACGTCTGGCTATGGGTGTCTGGGGAAAATGGTTGTGGTAGAGTATAGTAGTAGTAGTAGTAGTAGTAGTAGTAGTAGTAGTAGTAGTAGTAGTAGCAGCAGCAGTAGTAAGTGTTTGTCGACAGCCGGCGTCTTCACCCGGTGGCGACACGGGGCGTGTACCTCGTGCGCGGTGACCCCTGCGGGCGACCAACGCATCCAGGAACCTGGCGAACAATGGGTCGAGTATTCACAGGCACAGGGTCATGATTTTTGGGCAGTGCACCAGATGGCAGCGATAACAGCGATGGCGGCAACGAGGGCGGCACTGGAGGGCGGCAAAGAGGAAGCCACATGGCAGGCAGTTGTGAGGGCAGAAGCCGTGTGGTACGAGGAATGTACTGCTCTGCGACTTGCTACTTGCTGCTACTAAACGGCTTGACCGCCCAGCGGACGGCAGAAGTCAGGTACCCCGTGATGGAGGTACCCTGGTGTGCGGGGAGGGGTGTGATTAGCGCAAACGGCAGAAGCGAGCAGGGAGTGGCAAACAGGGCGAACGAGTACGGGGCGGGGTGGGTGAGGTGAGTAAGGCGGGTATTATGAGAGTGTGTGTGAGTGTGTGCGAGAGTAAGGTATGGGTAAGCAGATGGCTAGGTTTGGTGGTGAGGCTGGCGGGCCGGGGGAGGCTTCTTTTTTGGAGGTGTGGAGGCAGGATGGGAGTGTGGGCGTGGAGAGGGGAGTCTTGTGTGGTGCCATTGACTCAGGGTTCAAAAGAGGCGCACTGCCGGGCGAGGCAAAGCACATGGGCAATGGGCCAGTCGAGGGGGGCTAGAAGCGCGCAGGGGCCCAGTGTCGGAAGAGGCGAAGAGGGAAAAGGAACGCAGGCGGAAGACGAGGGTAGCTTCCGCGGGGGGACCCGCTATGCTATAGATAGACTAGCGCCTCACATGGCACGCTCAAGATTTTCCATGCTGTTGGCGGGCGAGTGGCTGAGTCAGCGGTATTGTACCGAATCTGTATCGCGGGCGGTAAAGTAATGTTTTTGGGCCGGGCGGGGGCGCAGGTGACGACGAGCTGCGAGCCCCATGGTGCAACGGATCCGCGAGCAACACAATCGACCCAGGACCAAGACCCACGACGGGAGGCAGACGGTGCAACCAGGCGGCTACGTCAGCACCGCACATGTCACGGCAGACGGCTGGTTGGCCGCGGCCGCCACAGCGTCGACGATTCATCGCCCGCCGCGAGCGCTGGGCGTGGCCGTGGCCGTGGCCGTGGCCGTGGCATGAGGCATGAGGCGCGAGGCATGAGATGCGACATGAGACAGACGGTAGACATGACGAGTCAGGGCGACATGTTCTGGAAGTCCCACAAGGGGAGCGCAACCTGGCCAGCCCGCACGTCCGCCGTGCATGCGAGCGAGACATCATGTGCCTCCCCACGCCCAGCCGCAGACCCATTCACATCACAAGAGCCACGCGCGCGGCGGCGGTACACGGGGGGGTGCACGCCGTGGGCACACCTGGCCCAGGTGGCGTTGGGGGCCCTGGATGCGTTGTTCTTCTCTCCAGGGCAGGGCAGGGCAGGCAAGGCGACGACGAGAGGAGGCGGACAAGATGGAGGCTCTCTGTTGCTGCTGCACTACACCACCTCGTAGTATACATAGTAGCAAGTACCGTACGCCCGTATAGGCATGGCAACCTGGCCACGAGCGTCGCAGAGACTGACGCCATGGGCCACGGGCTCAGCGTGAGAATCGGCCAAAGAGCGGTAGAAAGGCCGGACGGGCTCTGGATGCAATCTGCCGGGGGTGCTCCGGCGGCCCTTATCCTAGGGCTAGGGATGCATGGGTAGGGTAGTGGGAGGGAGGGAGGGGTGGAGGGTGCGTGCAAGGGAAGGCAAGGGAGGTGTGGCCCAGGTCGTTGCTCTTGCTCTGGCCACACCCCTGTCGCTGCAGTCCGCGCACACGCTGTGGGCTTTATACATACCCAGATCCACTCCCACCTGTGCTGCCACCAGACGTTGCCCTCTCACACACCCACACTCACACCCACATCCACACACACACACACACACACACACACATACATACTACACCTGCCCACAGTGCTCTCCTCTTCCACCATCACCATCATCAGCAACAATACCACCACAGCCACCAGCAACCCCATCCATGTCTCCGCGATCCCTCTAGTCCCGCCGGCACTCCCTCTGCTCGGCTCTACTCCAACACTCCCCCATTGACGCAATCGCAACTAAAGTAAACCGCCCACCTCCAAGAACCACGACCACGGAACCACGCCGTCCCCACTGCAACTCCCACCCCACAATCCCCGTCCCACGACCACCGACACTCGCTCCCGCCCTCTAACCTCCACATATACACACACACACGCACACACGCACTCTCGAGATATGCCTCTCCGCGCCGAACGGCCCATTGTGCGCGTCGAGCCCAGCTCCATGCGCACCATCGAAACCAGCAGCACAGAGAACCTCTTTGGCCTCTGGTCTGGTGAGTAAACCATGCAAGATCGAGCCACTGCAACCCACTGCAAACCCCAACCTCGCTGGGATTTGCAGCTGGACAGCAGCCTCACCACCATAGACACATGCACTAACATAGCTGCAACAGTCTTTGCGCGATGCTCTCCAGCCATGGAAGACGGCAAGCGCTACGAGAACATGGCATGGCGTCTTTGGTCTCGCGAGACGTTTTGCTGCCAGCCTGATTCGCTCACATCGTCCCGTTGGTCACTAGGACGTCGGCTGTCAAGCAGCGCCCCGGACGTACCCGAACTCTCCACCAGCGTCGCTTCCGACGAGTCCAACCTGGACAGCGCAATCACCTCCACCTCCCGCTCAGACCTCTCTGCCTCTCGCCCCGACCTTCGCCGCCACGACTCGGCTACCAGCCATGCCCGTGGCAAGCACATGACTCCCATTGGCCTCGAAAAGGTCGTCAACTCAATACAGGAGAAGAAATTCATCGAGCCCCTCTCGCCTCTCCCAGCCGAGCTCGCCGCCCCGATACCCGAGCTCAAGCCAGCCGAGGAAGACACGACGCCTCGCAGCGCCACTCCCCCCTCGCATGCCCGCCCCATTCCCGAGGCCTCGACATCGACCGTCGCCACCAGTGTCGGCTGCGACATCATGAGCCCGGCAGTCGGCTCAGAGGCCAGCACCTCGACCGACGTGAGCGAGCACAGCGTCGTCCGCGGCTTCGAGCCTGGCCACATCTCCACCTCGATTCGATCGAGCACTAACCTCAACCCCACTCCCATCCTCAAGAAGACCTCGAGTTTCATCACCAAGCCGCTGCCCACAAAGACCGACAGCACCAAGAAGAGGCAGCCCATGTTCACACTCGGCGGATCGTCCGAGGAGGAGAACTGCAGCTCCTTCGAGGCCTACTCCATGGCCCAGCGCAGCTCCCTCACCGAGCACCTGCGCAAGGCTGCTGCCCCCATGCGCAAGACGACTTCGTTCAAGACCGAAGTCAGCACCCGCACCTTCCAAGACGCCACCTCTGAAAGCGAGGCGGCCATTGAGAGCGACAGCGAGGATGATATTGACGAGAGCGCCATCGAGGAGGAGGACTCTGATGACGACGACTGGGAGGACGACGACAACGAAGAGAGCGGTCCTCCCAGCGTTGCTGACCGTACTCCTCTGTTCCAGCGGGTCGACTCCAAGCCTGACCTCACCTCGCGTCGATCGCTCCTCACCACCGCTCTTCATCAGGATGACCGCGCATTGGCGCTCCAGAACGCCGCATCCCGATCAACCCCTGCCATCCGTCGATCCCGCACATCGACACCAAACGGCCCCTCTACCGGCAACTCACCCCACGAGGACAGTGGTCTGATGATGATGCGATCCCAGGCCTCCCGCCCCAAGCCCATCATCATGACCACATCCAACGTTCACCCACCTGCCATGTCTCCCAAGACGACGAGGCGCAACATGCTGACCTCGGAGTTGACTGGAAGCTTGAGGCAGAACCTGCTGTGGGAAAGGCAACAGAAGAATGCCACCACCAACGCAGTCGCAAAGCGCCAACAGAGCGCCGCGAACCTACCTGGCCTGCGCCGAGCAATGACGACGGGCGACGTCAAGGGCCTCAACAACAACGAACAACAATCACAAGCCAAATCATCGGCCTTCAAGGATGACAGCAAGCCCAGCAGCGCGTACAACCAGTTCTTCGACTCTGGGCTTGGCGATTACCACAAGTCTGGATGGTAATCAAGCATCATTCTATTTTGCTTTTCAACGTTTGCACTTCTAGCGGCATCTATGGTTTGGCATTGAACCAGGGCGTTTTTGTGTTTTAATCATGCTCTTGTTTTTTTGTTTCTTTTTTTTGCTCTCTATTCTACCTTTTGCTGCCCGTCTTTTTATTACTTTTGTTTTTTTGTTCCAGACTTTTTTATTGTTTGGCGGGCCGCCCAGTCAAAAGGGCGGGCCAGCCAATCTGGGGTAATGTTCAACCCAAAAAACTTCTGATACCATCAGGGCTTTGAGTATGCCCGACGAGGCTACGAATTTCTTTCATGCAGTCATTGCGTTTGGCATGGGATTGCGTCTTCTGTATGTGGAAGATGGGGTCACGGCTCACGCCTATCTGGTCTGTACTACTACTATCACCTGCACTGTACTTTTATCGGGCTTGTTTGCCCGAGCCACTATACCCTGGAATGGGACGGCTTTTGCGGAGCTGGCCCGATGATGGAAATATCCTCGCATGAAAGATAGCAGGTATTTGCCTACATAGGTACTTAATGACAAAAAGCGGATTTTTACATTACTCAAACGTTCGACCCTGCATTGCACGTGCGCGCTTTTTTTTTCGGTGACTTGTGATGATATGATGGGGAATGGGGAGGGGCCGCCGGTGAGGCCATGCACGAGACACCGAGGCAATACTTCTTGGGGCAGTTTTTTTGATTGAATTCTGTCGCAATGTCAGGTGTCCAGGGATTCAAAGTCCCAACAAAGAGACACATGCTCGATTTGGAGCCGTCTGTTTGGTAGGCCTCTTTACCGCTCTTACGTATCATCTACCAGAGCTAGGTAGCCCAGACGAGCGCTTATGCACGCTTTGATGTAGGCTTCCCTGCGGCGCGCGCTGAATTACCACCACCCATGGCATGCAATACATGTCATGACTTTGGATACTTTGTCATTTATCATAACAAGGCAACCGTGGACGGCCCGTTGAGGACATGAGTAACGGGCTCACTTATCTTTTACAGATATAGCTCTTGGCCCGGGGGGGGGGGGATGAACAGACAGCCTTATTTTATGACGAAGCTGCGGCCTCACAAATTACCTCTGGCACTAGCAGAGAAGGCCGTCGCGGCCAGTCTGTATCTGCCAAACCGGTTCCCGCCTTTGTTCGGGCCGGCTTCCTGTCCACTGTGACTTTGAACTGCGGTGTTGAGACGGCGTGCCTCACCTATGCTGCACCGACTGCAACTCAACACCGGAAGGGCAGGATAGCTAATGTCCATGTAGGGTATGACCGTGGGCAATCAGGAGGTCGTGTCTCATGAAACACAGGCTGCACTCGATATACGCCAGCAATTGTTTGACGTGCATTATCGTGGGATCGGCGGCGGGCGAGACTCGACTGTTGCTTACTGCTTGCTGCAGGCCGCACCGCTCATCAGCCTTATGGCGCAGGCGCAGGCTGCGAGCCCAAGCCGACCACTGTACTCGCCCATGACACACACACTCTCTCTCTCCCTCTCCTCTGCCCACGACACAGTGTCCCATCAACCACAACGGGCTTTCTGCGCAATTAAGCAAGGCGTGTCCCGATGGATGACAGTGACATGCTTAATGTCCGCCATATTCCAGCCCGCCCACACATCCACATCCACACAACGTCATGCTTGCAATGACTCCCACGCGCGCGCGCCCCCCGCCGCTTGTCCTGCCCTGTCCTCGACACCTTCTGCTTCGTCGCCCCTCACTACTGTAGAGTACTCTATTGACTTGCTGTCTGCCTACGCAAGCCTCGCCAGCTGACTTGCGGATAACCGTCTCGCCAATCTTCCCCTTCGACTTGGCTCAGCAAATGGGAACATCCACCCCGGATCCAGCGGGCTCAGCTCAGCGGGCGGACCCAGTCAACCCGCATTGTTGACGCCCACCCTCTACCACTTGCCCCCCTCCCCCGGAAGGCGTTTGATCATCTGGATGCTAAAAAAACAATCCTCTGTGTCTGCATTGGCGGACGGAAGTGCTCTATCAGGCACCCGCAGCAACTACCCCGCGGCAACCAAGTCGGTCTGGAGGTTGATGCGCTGGCAGTTTAGCGCCTGCGAGTGGTCATCTGAAGCCATACTCGACGAGTTATCTTGAAGATGATTCAGCCTCATATACAAGGCCCCTTCCGCCACGCCAAAATGCTCCCTGGCTATACTTGTGTCAAGCCTCTGTCTGGTAATACGCTGACACTCGTCGTCGCCGTCACCGTGATCGTCGCAACCGCTCCTCGCTACGGTTGGCAATCACCTGGGACCGGCCCTGTCCGCCCTTTTTATTTGTTGCTCCCGTGCAATCCAGGCGACATTGCTCGTCACATGAACTCGCTTTGTCACACATGTCCCCATTTCCACAAAGTTGGTCGTATATACATCCATCCATACGTTGGTGACGTGCCCCTTTTGTGCCAATCAATCCCATTGCTCGATGCAGATCTGGCGTCCTGCACTCGCATTCGAACTAATAACATGTTGAAATACTTGTCTGCGTACGATGAAGCGGGAGATAATCAACTGCCGCCATGCGGCAAAGCAATACTCCACACAGCCTGTCTGCCTGCCTGCGCCGTCGACACCACCGTCAGATTTGCCCTGCTCAAGCGTCGTGGCCGCGGCTTCATACCCCATTGACTGGACACACGGAGTATTACACAGCGCCAGCATCTCCCGTCAATACATGCCGCATTACACCGCTTACGATCATCACTTCACAGCCTGCGACTCTTGAGAGACAACAAGACCTAGCCCAAGCCACTCGTCTCGCATACTACGGCTTATCACTCCAGTTCGCGGTACCATCTACCGCTTCCGGAGCAACAGACAGGGTGCCAGGATACATACATCAAGCCCTCCGCACACTTGCCCCACCCCCTCCTCGGCGCGCTGACGCCGTTGCTCACCAGTACCATGCGTCTTCGGCCCTACCGCCTCATTATCAATTGACCAGTCTTGCTTGGCACTACTTGCTACCCTTTCATTGACAAGTACCAAGGACATTCCGAAAGCTGACCATATACCCCAACTCTTTGGAGTTGCATTTTGTTTTCTTTGCAACAAAGCACATGCATGTCTGATAGTCTTTGTCTCACCGCATCCACATTAACCATTACCAACAAAAAAAAAGCTATTGACGCAATATTATGCAAGCTCCACTTCGGAAAGTTTTGCTCTAAGAGCATATACACATTAATCTTCCCGGGCCATCAAGGGCTCCGTGGCTTAAAAGCACAGGACCAGAAAAAAGATACCCCTGACGTCGTACTCCTTGAGAATGACTATTATTTAGTATCTTCTACGTCACCCTCTAGCTTGAGAGAGGCACTTGGCCAGTGCAATGTTATAGCTTTAGCTTCCATCGCTTCAAATGCAATTGGCACCTCTTGATTAACAGCATTGCTAACATCAAGCGCCGTTTGACATCCGCCTAGTCAGATGGTCTGTGGACTCGATCGCGATCCCACAAACTTTCCGGGAGATCTTGCAGTTGTATCTCGATGGATCATCGCGAACAACCTGATCAGAACCACATGAGCGGCCGCATTAACAACACGAGACCTACCAAGATTGCTCGTCTTTTCTTCCCGTGGTCTTGGTAACAGACAGATGTAGACTCCACTTGGATAAATCTATGCCAAGGCCGGATCTAGCCCTACGTCGCCTACACACCCCCATAGCCTACGTCACTCAGCCCGCCGAGCTTCCACACCAACTCGGACGACTTGTTTTCACACATTGGCCCATTGACTGCAACAATAGATCAAAGTTGCCAGCCTGCGATGGCATCAGCAACGCTCAAACGTCCGAGGTTCCATGACGAGGGATCCCATAACATGTGCTCATGAACCTCTCTCGGCGGTGAGTACGATTGGGCCGGGGTAGGCCTGTACCGAACAAATACACCCACCAAAGTACTTTCGGCTATTTTTTTTCGCAAACACCGAGGCTTCTCTAATACGAACACATGGGCAATGGACTGCTCAAAGCCCCGTGTCTGAAGTGTGCTATGCTCCCAAGAGCTGATTTCCCGGCATGACGTTCTCGATCGCGAGCACCCTTTGCGATTCACAGACTCGGTCGTGCACCTGACTCGGCCCATGTCGCGCCCAAGAGCCCTGTGATAAAGGACATGGCACACAATCGACCTCGAATAGATGAAGCCGGCATCGCAAGTCGAAGAGATCTCGGGTATTGGTCATGGAGTACGAGGCAACAACGATGCCAGTTGGTGGGGAAAAGACGACTTCATCTTGTGGCATGCAAGACATGTGGCTTGGATCCAAAGGAGAAGCCGTTTCCTGGCACCCTACCGACAAGGCGCAACCTACTGCCAGCAAGCGCTTCCCCGTCCTCAGGTGGCATGGCATCTATCTGGGACAGGCCTCCTTGTCCAGGGAAGCTGAGATTCTGTTTTAAGCACACGGGGCAAACTCCGGAATCATGCAATGTTTTATTACCGACCCTGATTTTTTCTTGGATGATTTCTGACAGACGGAAGGTTTATCAGGATCAGGTGCTTTGGACGTTGCAGCGGCAGGGGTTTCCCCACAAGTCAGTACCGGGCGCCCCCGAGCTCAACTTACGCGGCACGTTCGAGTGAGTATGTTGTACGCAGTATAATAATACCACTGGTCTCAAGAGCGTATAATTGTACTCAGCCATCGGCCGACGTGTCTCATTCTTACAGGCAAGGGGTAGGTCGGCGACTGGACTAAGCCACTGATTGTGCGCTCGTCGGGCGCTGAGATCACGAATGCGAATGGTATTGGAGTAAGCTGCGATGCGAACCGAAAAGACGCACTGCCTGGCAGCTGGCCATGCTCCTTGCTCCAACTCTGCCTGGCGCATGGCCGGAAGGATAAACGAGTCATGAGAGCACTTGTGTAGTCTCTCTCGTGTTGGGCGGCGAGCCTACGTGCGTAGCTGCTGCCGTTACATGTGAGGCCCAAGGAGCAAGGGGTGCTGAAATGCTTCGGATGAGACTTTGGGGGCGCGGACCGACCTGCTTGCCCTCGGCCCTTGCTCACGCGTTGGCTTCATTATCACTGAAAGGCTTCCTGGTCCCCACGTGTCAAGACATTCCAAGTGACGCCGAAACCCTGAAGATCCCCAAATCGGCGACGAGGCCGTTCCAAGTTTTTACCGCTACTAAGCCTATTTGTGTTCCAGGCATGGTGCAACCACCAGCGAGCAGAACGTTGATTAGCTTCCCCACTGGACCTTTACCCCGCAAGCCCTCTTTGGATATGGTTAGCTAAACAAACTAGGACAGTCCCGACGCGTTTTACCAAGGCACAGCTGGGAGCGAAGACTTTCGGACATGTCAGGTGTTGCTGACAAGATTCGGGAACGGTGGTTACAGTTCCCCAGACGGGCAACCCCAGACGTGGCACGTCGACCAGTTTGTGATGACAAGGGGCGAGTGGCTGGCCCACCCCGTGCGCAAGCGACGTCAACCAAGATGGCCGCACCACTGTTTCCATGGATCTTCGCTGCTCGCAACTTAATCCACCACTGATATTGTCGTCATCATACCCATGCCCACAAAAGGTCCACTCAATTGCCGAATACCCCCAAAATCTGCCTCCCCACACATCCGAACACACCCTTATTTTTTGTAACGATCACGGGGCTCCGCAAAAAAACCAAAAAAACAAAAGTCGATCTTTTCTGGGGTCAACACTTGGACTCGTCACGAGCGGTCATGACGTACATCTGGAGAATGCAGGTACCACCACTGCCGATCGTACATTACCGAATACGGCAATCCGGATAAATTCTCCACTCAGCCTTGCCGCGTAAACGGTAGAAGAAATACACCTAGTAGAGCGGCCTCGTCAGCCTCGCCTGGCTGCATTGAATTGGGGCGAGCATGTACGAGTAGTGTACGTGCAGGACTAACTAAGCATCGCCACACATTACTGATAGCGTAGCTGCATCCGCAAATGCAAGCTGCAGCATTATCATCCTGTGAAACAGATATCACATCTCCCCCCATTATTGACATGGTCTAGGTTTTGCTGTGTACATGTATCTGCCGACGACCCATCCCACATTTCCTATTTTGGCATTGGTACCGGATACGTATCACGCCATTGTAGGGCAAGCTCACACCACAAACACGGGCAACTTGCGATTGTAAATCTCCTTTGTCGTTGAAATGGCTTCTCTGTTTGATAAGCGATTGCGATATCGCTTCCCCGCTTCCCCGGAGACATTCAACAAACTGTTTGAAACCCAAGTGTCAAGCTTGATCCGATCAACCCACATATCCCAAAGCAGCATAGACTGGTGTTTTCCGTAATAGGAACTTGCAAATCAGTATGGAATGCGCAACCCTCACTGCATAGTGTATACACACGCGCCCCGTTTATTCGATTTGAATGGGGGCAAATGGAAAAACGTGCATGGCGCGTGTATGTAGTAAGTGACGTCACTTGTCTCATTATTTCGTTTCCTCGTATTTTTTGTTTTATCGATAATAAATACGAAGCGAAGCAGAGCGGATTCAGAAACTTTGACGACACACATCCATCATCGCTTCATCATGCGAGCGTCAACAACAAACAACACGCCCTTTTTATTCGCAAATGACGTGAAGAAAAAAACCCGATAATGCCATCTTTGTTGGGAAAAACGGGATGATGTTGGCAGCCACATATGGGTAAGCTTTCGCCCTGGTGGGCTTTTGTGGCTTGGGTTTTTCTCGAAGCGGAGGCTGCATAATGCACACACACACACACTCACACATGTTTCCCTTGCGTCTGCATCGACGACTTAGTTTTTTTTTGTTGGCGCCATCGTGCCGTTGTTGCCTGGGCTGCACATGGGGGGACGCGAAGGGGGGTAGCCGAGCTCTGCCGATGTATAGCGTATTTACACATTCCTAATGTGAAAAAAATACATGTGTATGTGGAGATTTGTGAATGATACTTGTAATATTCACAAGTATGTGTATGTGTATGGAGAGAGAGAGAGAGAGTACGTACACCTTACACTTACACGTGCCGCCATACTCGATTCTGCAACGCAAAACCCCACCGCCCACCTTCCTTCACATAGGACCTTTTAATTCCCTCTTTTTTTCGCAGACCCAGAATCTCTGGAATCGAGTTTTGAAGTAATATCCCATCCAATCAACCGTCCTTTTTTTTTCTTCAACTCAAACTATCGGATTTTTTCCCAGGTCATTTGTTCCCTCCGATACAAAATAATATCTCTCCACTTTTTTTTTTCTCCACCCACTCTCACTCTTCACATGTCCGACAAGCTCCACTAGTCCACGTACGAAAGAAACCCGCGTACGAGAAACGAGAATCAAGGGATAGCAACCCGTGAAGCTCCGATAACAAGACCCACCACGCTTCTACCCGTCACCTTCTAGACCTTACTTACCCCCCCCCCCCCCC